ACCCAAATTCATTCAAGGTAGCTTTCCACCCAGTGACCACAATGGATCTGGTTTACCCTTGAACATCCAATGAGTGAGCTGTTCAAGTTCGCCATATACTGGACGAAAGCTCGCAACCGAAGAATGGTGGTTTGAGGACTAGATCCTAGAAAATTAAGCAATAGCAGACCAAGGGCAACTCGCTGTCGTCTTATAGTGAGATCGAAATTCCATCCTCTTAATCATAAATTCATATAACCTAAAAGTAAAAAGATCCATCGAAATCACTTGCTCTTAATATGCATGAGGATCATTTTCTTTTTGCCTTCTGCACTCCACCACGAGGCGGCTACAGCAATGGGAAAACACCATTAAGCAAAGTCACTTCACTACCGAAACTCGTGGCACGCCATGTTTAGGGTCGAGTAAAGGCTTTCATAGCTAAAATATCATGTTTCGCTTGTAACCTAAGGGCATGCTGCTCGCGAAGAGCTATTTGCCAATTCTCCACACTTCGAGGTTAAGACTACAATATACTTGGGGGTTAAGATGCGATTTTAGGACTGAACTTAGAATTATATGATTTGGCACACTTTATCTATCCGTATTAGCAGTAAAATAATGAAGCGCAATGTGATCCTTGTGATTCTTGACACTTCCAACCGAGCGAGAGTCAGGACCATTTATGGTCCTTTTTTACTAACTAGAGGGCTCGTTTTTCACTTATAAATTCTGTTTTTGATGCGCCCTTAGGATTAAAGAGTTGGGCTTAACTGAATTGCCGTACGCAACCAGAGTGGACGAGTTTCTTTCGAACTAAACAACTTGTCCAACCTATCAGAGGTAGTTGGTGCTTCTTAGTTATAAATTAATACGGGTCGGAAAAAAGATGATGATGAATAAGAGATGTAAAAACTTCAGGGACGATAGAAACAAGAAACGGTTTAGTTAATCCCACTTTCTTGCTATATCTTGTCCTAGAAGTAGAAATAAATTCATGGTTGATTGAGATTTCCGCTGGACCCCAAAGGAAAGCTATCTAGTTTGACCAAATATGCTCTTGCTGTATCATTATTTCGAATAGGGCAGTCAATTGCTCTAGCTTTGTTGTTCACTGATTATGGTAATCTTGGTTACACATAATTTTACAGACACTTTGATTACATAACCAAAAAAATCAGGTGATCTTAAAACGAGCACTACCATTCAATCTCGAGAAGACTTTTTGGGCCAAATTTTCTTCTTAAATATTAATCAAAACCTGGTAGGAGAATGCTTTTAACGCTTGCTATTTCATGTTTTATAATCAATTAATGTTGCCATAAGGAAGCCTAATTAAACAACTGATGATAACATGTGGCCGTATATTGATACCTTTTTGCCGTCTCAGAAACTATAGTGAATATTGTTTTGGAAACTTTCATTTCGCATGAAAGTGCATGAAGAAGAGATTCAAATTTTGATCTTACCAGAAGACGAAGGCTGGCAGCCGTTTGGCTTAACTACGCCGTTCAGGTTGATGCTGCTCACGGGGCATTCTTCCTGATTTTGAGCGAAAATGGGCTGAGTTTGTATTTGTTATATGACGACATCATCAGAGCTGGGACTCACTCTTACAAAGGTCTCGAGTTAGCACTACGTCAAGAAGACTCACCTGCTCTATCCTAAATGCTATATATACTCACAAGGAAAATATATTTTGGTAAAGATAGATATAAATGGGATTAATTAGTTCTTTTATACTCGAGTAACCTGTTTTACACAGCTACAAGCTTAAATCTTATCAATTCAACCGAAGTTTCTTATGGGCTTGCGCAAACTTGGTTAGGCATCTTTTCGGGTCATTAGATAATGTTTACTAGGGGCTCATGTTAGGCCCTTTTCTAATTACTCTGAGCTATAACAAGTATTACGTACGCACGCACACAGACATGTATATACTCGAATATAAGAGACCCAAACAAACCATACTATATCCATCTTTATCCAAATATTTGTTCGTCATTAATACATATAGCATGTAGAATGGAGCCAGTGAATCTAACATACAGTCAGTCAGGCATAGTGTTCGCTTGTGGCTTCTGCAAGAATGAGTTAAACTCTGAGGAAGAAATCGAAGCACATTTTCACCAAAAATGAGGGGCAATGTTTCGTGGACTGCGCCAGGCTGAACGTCGTATTAAGGTCAAACGGCTGCAGTACAGTGAGAATCGGCTGTTGTCTTCAGGTTAGTTAGATCGATCTATGAATCTCTTCATCATGCAATTTCATACAAATTGAAAGTCTTCACAGATGAGTAGTTTTTCGAGACTACAAGTAGACCATTCATGTATGAAGTGCATTCACTCTATTTCGTATAGGCTGATAAGGAGACTGATAGTTGAATTTTTCCCACAATGATGAGGATGCTGTACATGAAGTTAGCGTCAGCGCTAAGACAGATCTCTAGCTTTGTTGTGATCAGGTAGCAAATAATCGATTGTTTTGTGTAATACTTTCTGGTAGGAGAGTGCCGCCCACAGGGGATCCGAAAGCCAGCAGAAAAGCAGCTATATCGCAACATACGGCCGTCTGATTGATCAGAGAATGTGCCACTACTTATGCCTATGGCAAGAGTATAAAGGCACAGCAAGCGTTTAGTTAAAAAGCCCCACAATTCCCCTCATCCGGTTATTGAGCCATAAACCGAGTTATTGGTATCGGCGTGAAAATTAGCGCAGACAATTTTCTAGTTTGACTAGGGCCATAGTTTTTGATGAATTATCTAGCCCTCAATGAGTCTGCTAGAGGACATCACCTTCGGCAGTCATTAATCACTCGGGCCCATCATGTTGCTTGCTTTTCTCTCACGCCCTTGTGAAAAGACCAAAATATTTGCATATATATTTGTAGATGTTCACACATTCATACACACACACATATACGCATATATATAAATGTATATATTCGCCAACTGTCACCAATTGGTGTTTCCTGAAGATGGTATTGGTTTGAGATGAGGTAGCTGGCAAAGGTATTCGGCGGAGTGATTTACGCGCCAGCACTTCACTTGTATCTAATGCTGCTCTTTTTTTGCGTATGCTTGTGTGGGTGTAATTGCATGCA